GGGGCTGTAAAAAAAAAAACCAAAAAAAATTCTGCATCTGAAAGAACCTAAAGCATTGTCTCCAAAAATTGCAGGACTAGGTATTGCAGACTTAACGGGTAGCATTGGGATCCTGTTTTCTCTGAGGAGCTGATTAATTGTGGTTCTTGTTCACTGCTGCACCCCTGCAGAAACTCAGCAAATAGTTTTAGGATCTTCTTAGAGCTTGTGGTTTAGAAAAGCTTAGACATCAGTTAGACATCATTAGACTTAAACATCATTAATTTCCCAGGAAGTTAGAGTCTTAAATAACACTTCCCAGTAGCTCCATCCCCAAAGGTATGCATTTCTTTTCTTTTTTTACTGTTTTCCTTTGGAAATAAAAGGCTTACCCCCTGACCATAAATATAACAGGATGCCCCCTCCCCACGTTAAAAATACTGCAGAGGTACCAATTTATTGAGTGGCAAGAGCCAAGCCCTTGCTGTTGCATTCCAGCGCAAATATCTACTCTGCCACCTCATGTTTCTGATTTTTATTACTAGTCTTTATGCCCATAAAACACGAGTTTGAAAGGATGCTCCTTAGATAAAGTCCACTTTCCTGCTAATTATAAACAACTGAGTCACCATCATAAACAGATCTGTCAGGTTCCTTCTTGGAAACAATGAGGGCAGGCAGTTCAAGTGCAGTATCACTGATCTGGCGCTGCTGCCATACCCGGTGAACAGATTACCTTTAACTTGATTTACATTAAACCAGTGGGCTGATCAGAGCTGCCTCTGCACAATGTATCCACCTGGTGCCCACAGGAAGGAGAAGGGAGACATCAAGAAGGGGGGGACAGGGATGTCTGGTGGAGAACACAATTTCCTGGGTGCAGCGATGCTTAATCCTCAATTAGGAAGTGAGAAAGGATCTGCCTTGCAGTTGTTTCAGTACTCGCCTTCTAGGCAAGCATAAGATCAGGCAAGCCTGCCTCAAATATCTGCTGCTAGACACAGCTGTCACAAAATATTAAGCTCTATCTGGAGACTAAATCTGCCAACTGGATTTTTACAGCCAATTGAAGAGAAATGCTTGTCTAGCCTAATCTCTGGCTCTTTATATTGAATCTGAGCAGGTTCAGCTTTCCTTGCCCCTTGGCATGGCCCCTAGGCATGAGGACAGGACTCATAACACCTCAGCTGTTCCTCAGGTTGCTCCCTGAATTGCTGAGTTATTCTTTACTAGGATCGAAGTAAAAATCCCCAAAATCCAGCATCTAAGCAGTCCCAGTTCACATCACACCTCAGCCTTTCAAAGCCTGTGTGGGAAAATTTGCTAAAGCCATTTTGCACAGAAGCACCGGTGACTTCTTCAGAGTTTTGAGTTTGTAGTGAGATAAATCAAAATTATTCTAGTTATGCCAACAGAAACTTTCTGGCTTGCAGGTGCGCTCTGCTGGGGCTTAACTCACAGAAATCAGCAGAAAAGTTGCTTTAAATGTTTCTCCTGGATATGCTCAGTCAGTCACTCCCAGCCCAGAGAAGTCAGGGAGGTTTCCAGATGAAGAACAAGCTTCCTCTGCTTCACTGGCAGCACAGGCTGAAAGAACAAGGATGCTGTTTGCTGTGAGGCAGCAGCACCCTTATCCGCACCCAGAGTGGGCATCAGTGATCCTGCCAGAGCAGTATCCTGGATTTGCAGAGCTGACTGTAACCCTAAGCTGGGTCTTGCCAACAGGCTCTTCCCCAGGGCAGGGAGCAGCTGCAGAAGGGTGACTACCAGCCACATGAGATGTCTGGAAGGCTTTTCCCATAGTCTGTTAGCCAGCAAGCACAGAGTTTTACTCTGTACACTCCTTTTTCAACAAAAAAAGGAAAAAGAAAACAGTTTCCCCTAAATTGTATTTTCCATTGAATTAAAACAAAGCCACATGTTTTGCTGCCTTGCTGATCTCCTTGGGTGGAAAGGGAGATTCACCTCCTGCCTCTTAACACGGAAAAGAAATTGTTTCAAATGAGCTTTGGGAAAACTCCCTGTCTCTAATAGGTGCTTGCTAGCATGAAAAGTTTGCAAGGAAATTTCTGTCATTGCAGTAATTCTCAGGTGAGCTTTGTTCCAGCGTCAATACAGCCTTCTAGGGTTAAACAGAGAGCAGCAGAGTGAAATAATGAGAAATTGAGTTTAATATAGTCAATCTTGGGTGTTTTTTTTTCATGCAGCTTCTTGCTTCCCTAGAGAGTTTTATGGCATATCACCTGCAGTAGCTAACATAACTGCCCAGAAAGGGTAGCAGTCTTATTTCCAGGCCTACAAAAAGGCAAATATGTGTAATTAATACCATAAGGAGCACCCTTATGCTGTGCTGCAGGGTTTATCTTTTTCCTGCTTAAAAACCATAACCCACCGCTAACTAGCTGTTCTGCACAAACTGCAATGCTGCTGTTCATCACTGGGCTGTACAAGCTGGGGGAGAAGATTTTACCCCTGTTTTTTAAGGGGATGAAAGCCCATCTCACCTAGCAGAAAAAACACCTGCATCTAGAGATACACACCCAGGCTCAGCCAGCACAGGGGAACACTCTTAATGACAGCCTGCTTTGATAACAGCTCAGGGAAGGGAGAAGAATTAAAGGTCTGGAGCCTTCCAGATTGCAGGGGGAAGACAGGCAAAATAAAGGAGACACGTGGAATGAGCAGCGCGCAGGAACAAGAGGCCTTTGTCAGATGAGGGAGCCACAGAGACCTTCCTGGGCCGGGAGCTACATTACTAGCACTGCTGTTGGGTGTCTTTATAAAGGTACTTCTTGCTCACCTGCAAGTTCTGCACACCAAACTCCTGTGAGCTCCAGGTAGAAATTGGAATAATTGCACCAGATCTTCATTATAAGTCTTGCAGGTCTCTGCTCTCTGGTTGATGAGGGCTTTCTTCAAAAGCACATGGAAGGAAGCATGCCACACCAGCAGCATTCAGTCCAAAATGCAATAGCGTTGAGAGTGTCAGGACACACAGGCAGGGATGAGCAGCAGGAGACTAACATTTTAGCATCCTTCAGAAGGCTTCTCTGCTGCCTTTGGGTGTTAGAAGATTAGATCTATACAGGAGGCACATCCTGTCTCTGTACACAGCAGTTACAGGCTTGCTGGTGGCTTATTTCCCCTTTGCTGCTGTGTGTGAGATGGGATAAGTGCATGCAAGGTCATCTCATGCCCCGCTTCTGCTCAGTCCAACACCCTATTACCCTTCATCTCCAAGCTCTGCATGGACCTCCCTCTCTCCTGCATAGCTCTCCGCACAAGCTGAGTAATTTTAGAGGAGGAGCCCTGCAAGGAGGAGCCAGGGCACAGCTTTGGCTAGCTGCAAGACGGCATTATTCGCCACTCTTCGCTGACAGCAAGGCAGCGTCACTTCCTTGAGCTCAAGGCTGGGAGAAGGGGACACGTGCCACCCAGGAGGGCTCACACCGACCATCCTCTTCTCAGGGTATGGCCAACGCTTCGCAGCGGCTCTCTTCGAGTCAGGTTTGAGGTGACCACCGTTATTTCGGGCCACACTCCCCCATCATCCCGGGTCACCATGCAGTGTAGCTCCACCCCAAGTGACACAGAGTCACACTCCATGGTGCAATGGTCATGAGGGCATGAGACTTCATGGGCTTGGTCTGCCCAGGGTTTCTTAATCCATGGTGGAAGAGCACGTGCCATCTGCTTTGTGCGCTGCTGTCCTCAAGGGTGCTTGAGTCAGGTCCCCTCATTCTTGCTTTTTCACCCTGGCGAGCAACGTGCTGACTTGAAGTGTTGCTGCCACAAAGCCCGTCAGCTCTTGGGGTGCCCAGCCAGCCCCTGGGCAAGTCTTTAGCAAGCTGGTAGGAGCATCACCTCCATGCCTGAGTTCACCTCCGACCTTAGGCTCTCCTGGTATAACTTCTAACCAAGACCCACAATAAGCATGGAACATCAGCCTAAGCTCTTCACCTGGACTTTGAGGAAGGAGGCGTGCTCAAGAGCAAGGTACACCCATAAGTGATGTCCCTCTGCCATTAACTTTCTCCAGCATGCCCTTTCTTTAAAGGAGGTGCACCCAATCCAATCTCCTTGTCTACCTCCAAGAAGGCCTCTTGCATCAAGTTTCTTCCTAAAGATCTCCACCCTCTGGTCATAACTGACAGTGGCAGATGGTTTGAAGTATTACATTTGATTCAGGATTTTAATGGGTTTGTTCTAGCCTATTTTGAAGTTAAACCCCACCTGCCCTGCTGCCACTGGTCAGGAGTTGATGCAGGAGGCTCAGCTGATGGACCTGGGATCACTGCAGACGTGTTTTTAACGTTGGTTTCCTTGCAGGGCATGGCACAGAGAGCAATGCCAGGCACCTCCCTGGAGGGGATTCGTCCCACCTACATCTACAAGGTGGTTCTGCTGGGAAGCACATCAGTGGGAAAGTCAAGCCTGGCCTACCGATACGTGAAAAATGACTTCAAGGAGTCACTGCCAACCGTGGGATGTGAGTGAATGGCTTCAATAACTTGATGGCTCTGGACAAGAGACCAGGCCTGATGCCCTTCCTTGCAGTGGGGTGGGATGCAGGAGAATAGGTTGGTATATCCTGCAGTAGCACAGGCCCACTTTTCAACATGATATGGACCTACCCCAGAGCCAGACCTCCCCCATTGCTGTCACCTTCAGATCTCTGCAGCCCATTTTCCTCAGCACCAGGCTGTAAGCAAAGCCACATCCAAATTGCACAGGTTTGGTTTAGTGTTGCTTTTTGGAGGCAGATGAGCAGTTAAATGAGTGAAACCTGGGGTCCAAAGTGCATGGGCCTATCTGCCCTATGCGTCCTTCATCCTGTGCTGCCCTCACAGCTGTTTGGACACCCCAGGAGACTCTGTCCTCTACATGTGCTGCCCCAGCCTCAATGTCCTGCTGGAGCAAGGAGATTCTGGCTGGGGTGCAGGTGGGCAGGACAGCCCAGGAGGTGATGGCCAGCTCACAGCAGTGCCTCATTCCTCCAGCCTGCCTGCAGAGATGAGAGCGCAGACCTCCCCATGCCCTGGCCAGGCTGCAAACCCCACGATCTGCCCCCCTGGCAAAAGGGAGAGCATCTGCCCCTGCGCATCCTGTCCTGACAAGCCATGCTGAACAACCCCCATCACAAGGCAGGCCACATGCGTGCTCATGCTTTGAGGAAAATCATCTGGAGAGCTGTGAGAGCCCTGCTCCCTCTATAATCTCCCTCTGGCCAACACACCTGCTGGGATCAAGCTGCCTCCCCTGTACTTTCACATCAGCACAGCTTCCTACAGCACCTAGACATTATAGTTGTTAATTTTACATGTTATACCTGGGTTTTGCCCTAAAAAGGCACAGCAGGCACACAGGTTGTGGTCCCACCTGGAGCCTGAAGAGCTAGCTGGTGGAGGAGAGCAAGGTGCTACGGAGCTGCTCCCCTTGGTTCATGTAGGTCCACTCACACCGTCTGCTCCCTGGGAGTAGGGATGGAGGCTCCCCTCCAGTGGGAGCCCTTTTCAGTGGATATTCCTATTCACAGCTGTCACAGGTCTGACCCACCAGCAAGGTGGAGGTGGCTTGCTCTCTGGGGGCTATTCTGCAATGCTCAGAGCTATCTGACATCAAAACTGGTGTGCATCCACCAAATCTGCTGCCAGGAAGGGCTCCCAGCCTGCCACAGGCTGCCCTGCCTTGTAACACACCATCTCATCAATTGTGCCAGCGCGTATGAGAAATCGGCCCCAATTTTGTGCATTAGAGCATCGTTACCAGCCCTTGGGATGAGTTTGACCTCACAGCAGATCTGAGCTCTCTACTCTTGCTGCGAACAAACATTCATGCTGCATCTTGCTTGCAGGCTCCTTCTTCACACAGATGCTCAACCTGGAGGTAGCCACTGTCAAGTTTGAGATCTGGGACACAGCAGGCCAGGAGAAGTACCACAGCGTCTGCCACCTCTACTACCGGGGCGCCCACGCTGCTCTCCTCGTTTACGACATCACTAACAAGGTAAGGCAGGGGACCCTGATCCTATCTGTGCCAAAACTATGCCATGCTGCAGCAGCACTGGCACGGCAGAGGTGTCCAGATGGTGGTGTTTGTCCTTGGTAGAGCAGAAAGCAGTACATGAGCACTGCCTGAGAAGATGAATGTCCAACCTGGGACATATCAGGGGCTGTCCCTGCTCATGCAGGACCACACCACCACCCCAGGGACAATTTCTGCTGCTGTGCAGAAAGGGTGCATCCAATCCAAGGCTGATTTATCCCTAAAGGTGTTTGAGGGCTAGTGACCCGTTTCCCTGAGAGAGAGGGCAACCAAAGTCTCCCCACCACATCTCTTCCACCCCCTTTGGTTTGGTACCACCTGTCCAGCTTTGCTATGCCTGAGGCAAAGGGATTAAATCCAGACCAGATCAGTGGATGGGTTTGTCTCCATCTCTCCAGGAAACACTGAACAAAGCAAAGCTGTGGCTGAGGGACCTGGAGAAGGAATTCCTTCCCGATGAAATCGTCATTGCTTTGGTGGGTAACAAGACGGACCTTGCTGCTGAGCGAGAAGTTGCCACCGAGGTGAGCGCCCGTGGTGAGCTCCCAGGCCCCCCTCATCAGCCCCTTGCCAGCAAGCACTGGGATACGTCCTAGTAAAGCCAGGAATTTAAAAGGCTTTCAGACACCTCCAAAATCCCCATACAATTACCGACCTGCCATGAAATGCCACCGTAACTGAACAAGCAGCCCCAGAGGGGGACGGGAAAATAACTCTGCTTGTCTCCACCTAGGAGGGGGAAGAGTTTGCAAGGACCAAAGACCTCCTGTTCATGGAGACATCTGCAAAATCCAACCACCAAGTACACGATATCTTTATGGCCATAGGTGAGTTGTGTGATGGCTCTAGGTGAGAGCAGAGGCGGGTGAACCACAGGCCCCAAACCTCTGTTTTGGGGCTGCAAATACCTTCCCTCCCCCAAAGCTGACCCCCTTCGTTGCTCGTGCTTGCCACCGAGGTCTGCTCCCCTGCTGGTCCAGCCTGCGCTGCATCTGGCAGCTTCAAGGGCCATAGCCACAACAGTCTGTGGTTTCAGTGCAGCATGTCACACCTCTTAAGGCAGAGGGACGGACAGATCCATCCCAGGATGCTCCAACATCAGAGATGGAATTCAGGCCCTCACCCAAAGCCACAGTTTTATTTTGCTTTAGTACCTGAACTAGGTGCAATAGTGTCTCCAGTGTAGCTGTTTGGTAGAAATCTAACACCATTACTGTGGGATGGTACCAGTGGCTGTCAGTGGGTTCCCTGGCATGGGTCGGGACAGCCATCACATCCCACCCCACTGGCAGGAGAAATGAGCCGTTTCTCACCTTGTGTTTCTTCTAGCCCAAGAGCTTGTGCAGCGGGAACAAGAGAAGGCATCTGCTGCATCCTTGCATGGGAGGTCAACAGTTGACCTGGGGGAGAGCAGGGCGAGGACGGGGTGCTGCCAGCTCTGAGGATGGGCAGCTCTGGACCTGGGCAGTAGCTGGATGACGTCTCCAGGAGGAGCAATGACAAAGCAGGGGGGAACACAGAAGCGCAGGGGCAGCTCAGCCCCACCACCCTCCCCCTCAGAGCCCATCCTGGGGGCACAGGGCCTCTTCAACCCTCTAGCACTGGCTTCATCCAAGAGGTAAAGCACAGGGGTTTCTTCTACCAACTTTCCATTTCCAGAGAGGAGCGTGACCCACCAGCACCACTGCACATCCCTCCCACCCCAGCTGCATGTCAGCTCCTCCATGTCCCATCCCATCTGAAAAGGGAGGGCTTAACTTTCTTGGAGCAAAACAGGTGCATCCTGGTAGCTTGACACCCAGGCTGCAAATAAAGAGAATATTGCCCTAAGGGTGTTATTTTTTATTCCTGACCTGGATGTCAGCCTGCAGGTGGGGACCACAGGAAGCCTGGACGTGGCAGGGACCAGAGCCAGTGCTCCCCTTACCCTGCCAACCCTCACCTAAGCCATTTCATGGGTCACAACCCATCCTCAGGAGAAGTCACTGATTTACTGCTGACGTAAGAGCCAGGTCTGGGGGCAGAGCAGGGCCAAAGTAAATGCCAGGCATTGCGGCAGCCCATGCCTTGCAAGGTCTCCCCTTTGCACATTACGAATTACACTGCGGGAATGTGCCTTGCCTGGAAGAGGAGAGGGAAAAAAAAAGTACCCAGGTTCTCTCCAAAAGCATGCTGGTACCCAGCAAACCTGGGGCACATCAGGCTCAGGGAATACATTGCCCTTTCTGGGAGAGCTGTGGCAATGCTGGGACGGCCACAGGAAAAGAGCAGCACCACTCACCCTGTCTATGGGGCAACATAATCACTGAGTTTTTGGGGCATGCCCTGACAGCGATGTCAGCCTGTGGGGCAAGGCTTGGCTGGGCTGAGCTCAGCCACAGGGCAGCAGACACCCTTGAAGATGTTCCCCATGGAGAGGATGGGACTGCAGCACCTTTTGCCCAGGTTTGCCAGGTCAGGTCCCTGCTGAGGACCCCCCAGCAACCCACACCAGCTGGGGACACCCACCTGCAATGCTTTCCCAAGGTGGGGCCATCCTGGAGTAGGACAGGGACTCCTCAGCAAGAAGGCAGATATACTGCCTCCTCTTGCCTAAATAACCTGTGTTAGAGCAGCTGAGAGACATTGGGTGCTAATTGCCACTTATCCCACCCATCTACCCCCTCCCTCCCAAGATTAACCCTTCCCTCCCCAAACAGCCCCAGACCCTCAATGCGGGGCCAGGAGCTGCAGACAGTGATGCTGAGGGTTACCCTTCTCTGTGGCCCCTCTTGCCCCCAAACTGGAGAGGGGGTAAAATGCTTTGGCTTGGGGACACAGCTCGAGAGAGGATATCTGGGGACATGCAGAGTGATGGACAGGGCCCTGTGTGCTCCCCCAGCATTTCTGACCCAGGCCATGGAAATGGGGTGGATGTTTCTGACCCCAACACCATGGAAATGAAGGTGTCAGGGTCATGGGTGCTGGCATGCTGCGAGGACCCCAGGGGATGCACCTGGGAAAGGGGGCCTCTGGGGCTTATTTTTAGGGTGTTTTTTGGGGTGTGGGGGGATAAACATGCAGTGTCATGCAGAGAGGGAAGTGCTGCTGCACCGCATGCACTGCTGGGGCGGGCTGCAAAACTGCAGCAAGACCAGCAATTTTTGGGGTTGCACACCCCACCCCGCAACCCCCTGTGCTGTGTTTCAGAGCAGAGAGGCTGGGACACAGGGATGAGAAGAGAAGGGCTTTTATTGTCAGCTTCAGCTCAGGGGCTCCGCTCT